GAAGCCACAGTATCAGTAGCAATATAAGAAGAGAGTGACTCTGATGGATGCAAGGCCTGCTATTTTCTGTGATATGGGAGTAGAGGGAGCAGATAGATATGGAGAGTGGGAAGTATGATGAGGGAAAAAGGCTAGTAGAGAAGCTGGTCATGGACTGAACTGTCCTCATTACGACAGGATATGAACTTTGAGGCCGTGGCCATTGGCTTCTCTCAGGATGAGTGGGGGATCCTTGATGAGGCTCAGAGACATCTGTACTGCGATGTGATGCTGGAAGTGTTTGCACTGGTCTCATCTGTAGGTAAGACCTTCACATTGTCCCAGGGTCGTGACGTGATGCCCTATCTTCCTTTATTTTCAAAACATAGCTTTCTCCCTCCCATAGCCAGACCACAGGAGGGGCTCTTCTGATTCCCCCACATTCTTGTTAAATGTGCTGTGGCTGCCAGTGGTGAGCTGTGTGGAGAGCCCGTCCACGGACCCCACGAACACCCATAACACAAGTTGCTTCAAAAAGTGCAGGAAGTGCCTGGGAGTCAGGAGTCTTGCAGAGAGCTTCCTGGGTGCCACCTTGCACTGCCTCTTCACGGTGCAGTGATGGTGTCCCCCCAATGGCTTCCACTTCTGCCCCTTCCTCAGCTAAATGCTCTTTGTGACGGCCTGTGCCAGGTTATGGTCTTTTCCCCCCCGCTAATATATTTTTATTGATTTTAGAGACAAAAGAAGAGAGAAAGAGAGAAACATCAATGATGATAGAGAATCATTGATCAGCTGCCTTCTGCACATGCTCCTTCCTCAGCTAAAGGCTCTTTGTGACGGCCTGTGCTAGGTTATGGTCTTTTTTTCCCCCCCTAATATATTTTTATTGATTTTAGAGAAGAAGGAAGAGAGAGAGAGAGAAACATCAATGATGATAGAGAATCACTGATTGGCTGCCTCTTGCACACCTACTGGGGACTGAGCGTGCAACCTGGGCATGTACCCTGGGCCAGATTCGAACCTGGGACCCTTCAGTCCACAGGCAGATGCTCTATTCACTTGAGCCAGAACAGCTGGGGCAATGGTCTTTACTTACATGATCCATGGGCTGTTCTTGTAAAACCCTCCTTCAGTTGTTTGTAATATTCTGTTCCCTGAATACTATGCAAGCTGTGTTGGTCAGGGCCAGTGCTGGCTGCTCATCTCTGTTGTCCTTCACTAATACTCAGAATATTTAGGTTTGACGTATTTGTACAGTAGAAGGTGCAGGGAGAACCCAGTTTTTTCACGGGGTGAACATGCAACATGATCTCAGGAGGCCGGGCCTTGCTTAGTGGTCACTGGGGGAAGGTATGCCACATGGGCTGTGTTCAGATGATACCAGGGACATCCTGGTGTCCAGCGGTGTTTAGATGCAAGTGCCACTGGCCATGTCTCATTTCTTCCTTTCCTTTCC